AATTAAATATTTTTCTGCTAGTTGAAAATAGGTTTTATTGCCAGGTATGTGGAAGGGCAACAAAGATTGATTCAGAGTAAAAAATAAGTGTGTAGTGTTACTGGCCTATATATTATGCAAGAGTGGTTCCCTTTTCTTTATATCACCGCATCTTATCCTCCATCTCGTATTTTCCTATTTTCAGGATCTTAAGTAGTTTTACGAAATTAGGTGGGATTTCTTTACGATTTTGCTAGCCAAATGTGATATCGTGCTAAGAGTAAGCAGTGGTGTTGATTTGAAGTGCAAATTTTGAGATGTCCGGCCTCAGGCCAAAGGTAGTGGTGTTTACTAAAGGTACCTTCGGGCATCAAATTAGCCTTTTGTAACCATTCGGACACTTTTTTCCAGAAGGATGATGTTTCGTGACATGTCCAGAAAAGATGCATTAGTGTGTCTGGGGCTGCCTTGCATAAAGTGCAATTTCCATTTTCCTTAAGTCCAATTTTAAGTAAAAAGCATTAGCGGGGAGTCGCCTATGTAAATGTAATTTTGTGCTTTTTGTGCACCGCGGTGCCAATATGTATGCTGAGCTCCAGTCTATGTTCTCATTACTTGAGTAACTGCATTAGAAGCCATTTCATTTGACTGTTGTTTGGCATTACGCTCTTGTTTCTGACAAGCTTTTTATAGACCAGAACTTACTTTTTTCAGTCTTTAAATGTTTGGTGCTAAAAGGTTTTCCTATTCTTGTTTGTTGTCGCCGAGATCTTTAATTTTTTATTTATTTCGGAGAGACTTGACGGCTGATTACTATTCCATAGAAGTTAGAGGACGAACATTCAGACCATGTTTTAATTGGAATTCATTCAGAGAGAGATATTGATTGTTTTCGTCTGTTTGTAAATGTTTCATTTTGTAATTCCCTTTGCGAACCAGTCTGTAGAAAGATTGATTACAAAAAAGAGTAACCAGGGGTTCTCATATCAAGAGTTCCATTTGTTGTTTCCCCTGAACAAAAAATGTATTGCTCCAAATTTCAAAGAATGACTGCAGTCTGCCATACATATTCTTGACGAATAAAGAAGGGTGGACCCAAAAAACTGTCTGAATCTATTTATTTATTTTTTTAAATTCAGAGACTACATTCTGGGCTGTTGGACTTTTTGGGTGTCTGGTTTTAACCTAATAGGACTTTTTGGGGGTCTAATAATTTGGCCTCATTCGCACTCCCTGTCACTATTATACCAGGGTAGCCCTGTGGTTGAAAGCCTACCAGCCTCTCTAACAGATGAAGGGGGGGGGGGGGGGTAATGTAAATTGCGTAAGTGTGCAGCACAATTAGGGTGTCTGATAAAAATAGATTTGAATTACTAGTATGTCGCATCTGATACATGGCTGGAAATGACATCCTAACATTAACAGCATGGTGGTCAAGATACCTTATGTTATTTTTGACGGGAATTTGATTGTGTGTTGGATAGCCTCTTATGAAACACTGTCGTTGTGAAATATATCTTTGTCAATCGAAACAAAAACTTAAAGGAGTAAATGGTCGAGAAAGTGAAATCGTGGAAAATCTATGCTAATTAATACCGGGTATCGCAAATCCTCTTAGACAGGGTATAATTTCCGTTTGTTTTAACTTGATGAATTATTAATGAGTTTTTGAGAATTTTTCATCTCTAATTCATGTGGTTCTCTGTGCAACCTCGTCCCTTTCTGAATCCCGTTTGCTCTTTTCGCAACACTTCATCAACAGCTAGAGATAGACGCTTCACAATGACCTTACAGAAGATTTTGCTTGGTAAGGATAACAAAGTGATACCCCGCCAGTTGTTGCAGTCAGTCTGTGTGCCTTTCTTGGGAATTGGCATAATGACACCCTTGCTCCAGTCACTTGGTATCCCATCTCCATCCCACGCCTTAGTAAAGAGTGGTAGTAATATCTCTGGGTGCTTTGTTATTCTTAAGATATTTAATGACTTCCAAGATCTCTTCTTTTGAAGGTGGTTCAATGTAATATCAAGGTCTTCTACAGCATCTTGGATATCAACTGGCTTTTCTGGGGCCTCCTTGTTGAGGACCTCCCAAAAGTGCTCCGCCCAACGTTCTTCCTATTCCTTCTCGGTTATCAGTAATACTCCTTGTTTGGCACAAATAGGTGTCTGTGCTTTCCGCTGACCTCCAAAAATTTGCCGCGTGATTCTGTAGACTGTACCTTGCTCCTGATGCTTGGCAGCAGCCTCTGCTTCTGTTGCAAGGTTCTCGACAAATCTCCTCTTGTCTGCTCTTGCTGATCGTTTCACTTGAACATTGAGGATACTATACTGAGCTCAGTTGAAATTTCTCCTTAAGGCGAGTGGACTTGGCTCCCATCAGCTTGCCCTTTACTTTTTTTCCTCTCTGAGATAGCGTCCCAGGTTTCTGCACTCAACCATTCTTTATGGGATTTCTGCTTAAAACCAAGTGTAGTAGTGGCAACATGATGGTATGTCTTGACGATCTTGTCCCATTCAGATTGCACTGAGCATGCCTGTAAAGGATCTTCCTCAGCTCTTTCGACGTCCTCTTCTGCAAGAGCCTGGAATCGGTTCCGAAGGTCTATACAGAACTGATTCCTCAGTGCATCATCCTTGAGCTTTGACACATCAAAGCGCCTCTGGTGACTTGTAGTGGTTCTAGAGCGTTGTAACTTTAGTTTAACCATAGCAGTGACAAGATGATGGTCACTCCCAACATCGGCTCCCCTTCTTACACGCACATCTTGCAAGGAACGTCTCCATTTCCCGTTGATGAGAAGGTGATCAATTTGGGTCTTATCACGCCTGTTCGGAGAGTTCCAAGAGATCTTATGTATGTTCCTGTGCGGGAACAATGTGCTTCCGATGACTAGGTTATTCATACCACACAAGTCCACCAGCCTTTCTCCATTATCATTTATATTACCATAACCATGCCTTCCCATGACTCTCTCATTGCCCATGTTGTCTTTTCCTACCATAGCATTCAAATCGCCAATTACTATTAGGAGATACTGGGAGGGAGTGTTTTCCACCTCAGCCTGTAGACGCTCATAAAAGGTATATTTATGCTCAGGGTTAGCATCGCTTGTTGGAGCGTAACACTGGATTACAGTCATCCTCACCTGCTTCCCAAAGAACCTCGCTCTGATCAACCTCTCATTGATTGGTTTCCACACAAGGAGGGATTTCTCAACACCCTTCTTCAGGATGAGTGCTACTCCTTGCTGGTGGAGGTTATCATTCCGGCCTGAGAACAAAATCGTTTCACCAGTCTGCGTTCTCTGTGAACCGAATCCAGTCCACCTGCACTCACTGATGCCAAGAATGTGCAAGTCTACCAGTACTACCAGTACTAAACATCGTCCTTATATTCCAGAATCCAATTCTTGTCTTTGTCTTGGTGCTCAGGACTCCCAGTTTCGCAGCGGCAGCTTCCTGTCGGCTTTCACTGTCGCTGGTCATTCTAGCCTGTGAAGGCTTTGAGGGTCTTTGGTAACCAATAGGTTGAAGGTTTCTTGTTACTCGGTTTCCGTGACAAACTCTTTTTTACGGGGTTAGGTTGTCAACCTCACGCCCAACTCCCAACCTGAAGGCACCCGAGTTAACTCCTCGTTTCCGATTGGTTCATAAACAATGCAATTAAATAGACTTGTGCCATAAAGCGTGCACAGGTGAACAAAGTATTTTGATTTATGGACATGCCTCGAGCCATGAAACCCTCCCTTTAAGCGTTCACAGATGTAGCTTTTTGGATTGTTTATCTCATACAATTGCTAACAATTCAGTATAGAATGTTTCGTTTACTATCGAGCAATTAGCTAAAGTACGATATGTACATAGACCAATTGCATAAATGGCGCCGAATTTGAATAACATTACTTTAGAAAACCTTATCCTCGTCAGGTGTGCTTATGTCAGTTTCCAGACAAAGGATTTCTCCCATCAATGCGAGGCGCATTGTTATTCAAATCCGGCGACATTAATGCAATCTGTCTATGGTAATGCTCAGCAAAGTCTTTGACGAGGTTCAGCCCAAATAAATTTATTTCCTACTTGAATCCTGAATGCAGCAGTCTCATTCACAAATGCCAAAAAATTATTGCAATCATTTTATCAATTTCAATCGGCCTGCCAACGATTCAGTTTCGTATTCGGCCCGACTACTCGGTGTCATTATGGTCAAAATATTCTGGTTTCCGTTTCCGATGACCAAAATAATTTTGTTGTGATTTCTCAAACCTCTAGTGCTACTTCCTCTAGTCAACGTCAGATGCAGCCAAATCGGAGAATTTCGAGAATCGCAGCATTTTGTTTAAGATTCAGTTTCTAGCGCACGTTTCACCAGGCAATAGTAACCGGCAGAACTTGTAAAACATAAGAAAATGGAACTCTTCATTATTGGTCAATTAGTAAAGACGGACAATAGAACAATTTCTACCTTTAAATCATAGCAGCTTTAGTTCTGCAAGGTGCCTTTGAAGACCACAAATACTGTAATAAACCAGATGACGAAAAAAAGCCGGCTTAAACCTGACAACGTGGATCAACGGGAATACAATGTTGTATTGCAAACCTTTAAGGTTGAGTGAGATATCCACAGTCTGCAAACTTATACCATACGATTATTGATGAAAGATGTAGTTGTGCTTCAGTTGAATTTTCAGTTTTGATTTTGACTGTAATACCGAATCAAGTTCAACCGCAACTGAGACAAATGTATTATGAAAACTGCTAATAAATGCTGAGCAGAAGAACGGTATACCTCAAGCGGCTGAAATGTTTTAATCGTCGAGTATTTGTTGACTACTAGCAGAGAGTCATAATAAAATTGAACATTTGTATACGGAATAAACGTAACATACGTTCGCTTAATATGCGAATATGAATATCCTTCATAACATCCTTTTACCTTGGGTAATTAGAACCCGTCCTGGCCCATTTCCCCTGCTTTCATTAACACGACTAATTGATCTCAATATTGACCTACCTACAATGGAGTCATAGTTCAGTTGGTAGAGCATTTGCGCCGTCATCGCAAATGTCATGGGTTTGGATCCTGCTGAAAGCTCAGATTTTTCCGGGCTTTCTTTGCTTTCTTTTGCTTTGTTTTTATTCTTACGAAGATCTCTTTGGTTGAGGTTGAAGTCGCGTTGCACGAAAGAGTTTGCCGTTCGCAACTGTTTTTCGTTTTGCAAGTTTCACGAAAAGTAGACTCGCTTTCTTCTTTATGCGATCTTCACCTTGTATATCGAGTTGACAAGTTGACAGAAAACAAAAAAGCACAGGTGAAACGCATCAAACAATTACGGGTTCACGGTTTACGGACTGAGTTTTCGCTCGAAACAGCAACGTAAGCCAAAACAACTTCAGAAAGTAACACATGTATATTTTACAACATCTTTTCACACGGGTAATGGAACTTGCAAATTGATCTGGCCCCTTAGATTCCCTAATGGCAGTCGCACTTGAATGGGATTCGCTATAAGACTCGAATTAAAAATGAAATTGGCTAATATGACTCCCGCATCGCTAACGGAAACTAATGAAATTCTCTACTGAATGGAAACTAATGGAACTCGCTAATGGCATTCCTTTCATTTTCACGGAAAATAGCTACAGTTGCGTCATAGTTCAATTGGTGAACCATTTGCGCCGTCTTCGCAAAAGTAATGGGTTCTATTCCCGCTGAATGCCCAGGTTTTTCCGAGCCTTTCTTTGCGGCAACTGTGTAATAAATTGCTTTTAATCCTGCGAAGACATGAAAATCATACTCGCTTTCTACTTTATGTGATCCCTGTAGATCGAGTTGATAGGTTGACATAAAATGACAAACCATGCACAGGTGAAACCTGTTGGCACTCCGAACTCTTTCTACTGAGAAGAATCACACATATCACACGATTTCAGATTCACTGTGGACACATCCAATACGTTTTTCGCTCGAAACAACAATGAAGAACAACTACAAAAAGTAAACAGCAACCAAGTCTACTGTTAGTGTGATTGAAAGTGTAAGGGTCCTGTATTGATGGAATGGATTGGAAATTAAAAAGGCTTTTATGTACTGAGTATGTCTGAAGGGGGAAGACTCGCATATGAACCTGTAATACATATGGATCCTGTGAGGATTTGCGGTGACTAAAATGTCACAGCGAGCCCATAAGTACAGGCTGAGAAGCAGACTTTATCCCACATTGCCGTGAGACATCATTATAATTCTTGCTGGTAGGCTGAAAGATCGCCAAGCATACCACCAGTTAGAGACTGCAAGGAGATTCACATTCTTAGTACGTCTGGCTACCAGGGCTCCAAAGGAAAGTTAACAGCCTGCCAAAGCCCTGCTTAGGTTGCCAGTTGATGCAGAAACAGCCTGGTACAGCACGTATAAATTCATGTCGATTTTTTGCACTCGTCTGGACCTGTGGGCAAAAAGAAGATAAACAATCGTCGAATAGGCTGATTTGTCGCTAAAAGTGGTTGCATAATAGACATATATTATTAGCCAGAGAGTAATAGCAAATGATTCCACCGGTAATTCAGAGTTGGGTAACAAGTATTTTTCGTGCACAGTTAAGGCCCTTTGTCTTATTTTAGAAAAATGGAAGTTGGTGCCAGCTTAGGCCCGGGTCGCACTTGCGAACAAGTTTTGAAATGTCCCAAAATTTTCAAAAAAAATTGTCAGAACATGTTGTCAGAGACATCTTGTAGAGTAACAATAGGTTTAGTTACTAGCACAATAGCTTTTCACGTGCTATAACCCTCTTGGGACATTCCTCAGTTGTCCTCTGCAAAACAACGACGTGAAATGACCAAATTCTGGGCTTTGGGAGAACAGCTTTGTCCTTCACAACATTATTAAAATCATGAAGTTGGTTCAATCTGTAACGATTACCACAGAAAATTAATAGAAACAAACGAAAAAAACCCCAATGCATTGTTATTCACATATTTTAAATCCAGTTTTGGTGGCGTAAACCATACTATACTTGGACACAGTCCCGGTGGCCGCGTTAAATTTGAATCGAATATATGGCAACACGTGCTGCAAAATGCAAATTTGTTATTCTCCGAGAAAAACACAATGGTTAATCAAGAAAGCATTGTTATCTGGAGTCACCCGGTGCGTGGGGAAGTGGCTTGTCCAGCTCCAGGGCAGGACTACGGCGCCTTTGAAATTTTGTTCGTTTGACAAAATTTGTCCGACTCACAACAAGTAGGTCGCACTTGTTTTGCGATTATTGTATCAAACAAATTTCAAAACGTGCACACGTGCGACGCGGGCCAATCATAGGACTGAGGCTTCTTTGTTATTTTATCTTTTTGGACAAATTGTTCGTTCTGAAAACGTAGGTCGCACTCGTCTTTGCTATAATTGACGCTTAAATTGAAGAAATCCACTAAAGTTACCAAACTTGTTCGCAAGTGCGACCCGGGCCTTAATGTGGCCTCGACTAACACACAGATCAACTGAAGCATTGTGATATTTCATTGATCATAACCCTTACTATTTCTGTTTATAAAATAGTTGAGATTCTCGCGCGTATGATTCTTACTGAAAAAAGCTATTTAAATAAAAAAAGCCTCAACTGTGTACATGTGCAACAGAGCTTAACAAATAGATTCCATGTTGCCGTGCGTCTGTTCAGTAATAGATCACAGATGACGTCAAAATGTGGTAAGAACAAACAAGTGGCCAACAAGCCGCTGCGGCGAGTTGGCCACTGATGTTCTTACCACATTTGACGTCTTCTGTGATCTATAATACTGAACAGACCCACGGCAACATGGAATCTATTTGTTTTATATAATTTGGGAGATATTCGCTTCGGATTTTCACTTGACTGTACGCTAAATAAGCCGATAAAAATTATGTCAACAAACATCGAGTTTAGGCCACAGTGTTTTCATGCACTCAAATAAAACTTTGTGAAAACTAAACGGCTTAAAATAAACTACAGCTCAACTCAGCAAATGTTTCGAAAAGCAAATATTTAGAGACCAACCTCTATTCCGTCCTGATATGAGTAAAAGCAATCTGAATTATTCCAGTTCAAATCCCGTTGCAAATCGCTTCACGGCGAACGATAATCCCGCTAAATTTCTCGGATTCTGTTCACAATGAGCTAAAAGTCCATCATATTTTCCTCCAAGTTCTAGCCAAGCTTGAACAGCCGATTTAAAATTCGTATCAATTGAACTACATTGAATTTCCTACGGAATATTTTCAGTTTGACGAAAATATTTCTCTGTTTTGAGCGAAGGATTTGTTGGAGCAGGGCGCCCGCGCGTTTTCCCGCTTCGTGACGTCATTCTTCCGTCTGTACTCTAATAGATAACAGTTATAAACCAATCACGGCGCGAGTTTTATACAGTAAATTATATAAATAAAGAATAGATGACGTCAGATTACGTGTACGCTCATTTAAGCGGATCATTTACAGTCGGCAAAATCAGTGCTTGTTTGCAAGAAATACGAGCAAACTTCCACTCCACCATCCGAACAATACAAGCTCTTCGAGAAAGGTATAGCGAGTGAGTGAGGCTAAATATTTTCAAGAAGAGAATATTGATTTTCGACCCGTCGTTAGCAGGCGACTTGGAATCATTTGGCGAGTCAAGGAAAGCTGGCAGACGCTTTGATTTATTCAGCGATTTTAACCTGCGTTCCTGCATGGAAAATGTCTTCAATAAAATGTTGAAAAAGGTAAATTGTTTATTTGAGCGTTAGTTGGTACTTAAGTTTCGAGAACTGACGTAGTAATTTCTTAGCAGCTCGACATTAGAAAAGTTTGGTAAACTTCCCTCGCACTCGCATTTGATTCTAATATAAAGGAGAACTACTAGGGTCTACTAGCAGAGAGTCATAATAAAATTGATCATTTGTATACGGAATAAACATAACATACGTTCGCTTAATATGTGAATATAAATATCCTTCATAACATCCTTTTACCTTGGGTAATTGGAACTCGTCCTGGCCCATTTCCCCTGCTTTCATTAACACGGGTAACTGATCTCAATATTGACCTACCCACAATGGAGTCATAGTTCAGTTGGTAGAGCATTTGCGCCGTCATCGCAAACGTCATGGGTTTGGATCCTGCTGAAAGCTCAGATTTTTCCGGGTTTTCTTTGCAACTGCATCAGTGATAATTTGGTTGAGGTTGAAGTCCCGTTGCACGAAAGAGTTCGCAACTGTTTTTCGTTTTGTAAGTTTCACGAAAAGTAGACTCGCTTTCTTCTTTATGTGATCTTTACCTTGTATATCGGGTTGACAAGTTGACAGAAAACAAAAAATCACAGGTGAAACGCATCAAACAATTACGGGTTCACGGTTTACGGTGGACACATTCAAAGAGTTTTTCGCTCGAAACAGCAACGTAAGCCAAAACAACTTCAGAAAGTAACACATGTATATTTTATAACATCCTTTCACACGGGTAATGGAACTTGCAAATTGATCTGGCCCCTTAGATTCTCTAATGGAAGTCGCACTTGAATGGGATTCGCTATAGACTCGCTATTGGCTAATAAGACTCCCGCATCGCTAACGGAAACTAATGACATTCTCTAATGGAACTCGCTAATGGCATTCCTTTCATTTTCACGGGAAATAACCACAGTGGCGTCATAGTTCAATTGGTGAACCATTTGCGCCGTCTTCGCAAAAGTAATGGGTTCTATTCCCGCTGAATGCGCAGATTTTTCCGGGCCTTTCTTTGCGGCAACTGTGTAATAAATTGCTTTTAATCCTGCAAAGACATGAAAAGCAGACTCGCTTTCTACTTTATGTGATCTCTGTAGATCGAGTTGATAAGTTGACATAAAATGACGAACCATGCACAGGTGAAAACCTGTTGGCACTCCGAACTCTTTCTACTGAGAAGGATCACAGACATCACACGATTTCAGATTCACTGTGGACACATCCAATTCGTTTTTCGCTCGAAACAACAATTGAAGTCGAACAACTACAAAAAGTAACAGCAACCAAGTCTACTGTTAGTGTGATTGAAAGTGTAAGGGTCCTGTATTGATGGAATGGATTGGAAACTGAAAAGGCTTTTA